AAAAANAAAAAAAAATTGAACCAAAACTCACGCTGGTTGACCTCCATGTCGGTGATGGTCTGCCACTTGTCCGTGGCGACGAACCACGCGTCGCCGCGCCGCCGGCAGCTCAGGTCGATGACCAGCCTGTCCGCCGCGCCGCCGAGCGCGGCGAGCACGGCATCCAGGCGGGCGCGGCTGAAGCGCGCGCGGGAACAGGAACGACGTGACGATGACCTTGTCGGCGCCGGCGGCCAGCCAGGCCGCGGCGTCGGCGTCGGTCACGCCGCCGCCGACCTGCAAGCCCCCCGGCCAGGCGGCCAGGGCCTCGCGCGCGGCGCCGTCGTTGCCGGGTCCCAGCATGACGACGTGGGCGCCGCGCAGGCCCGCGGCCCGGTACAGGGCGGCGAAGTGGGCGGGCGGGTGCGCCGACACGTGGTTGGTGCGCAGCTCCGACGTGGCGCTGCCGAGCGTCCCGCCCACGATCTGCTTCACCTGCCCTGCGTGCAGGTCGATGCAGGGGCGGAAGCGCGTCATGGCTGGTTGTTGTGCCGGTGGGTGTTCGGTTGCGGCTGTTTTTGTTTTGTGCTTTTGTCGAGATGGGGGTTCGATTTAGTGCAACGAGAGCGCTGGCTGGCTGTAATTGATATGACGTTGGGGCGGGGTAGCTTCCATGCAGAACCGCCGGCAGGCTCTTGGGCGGAGCGAGCGGGCAGGGGTAAATTTTTGCGATGAGCCGCGTCGACGAGATCCAGAAAAAAAATCCGTAGCAGCGTCATCGCCACCTCTCCTTCTACCAACTCCACAACCTCACACAATGCCGTCCGCATTAGGAAAGCGCAAGCCGCCCTCGCACGAGAAGAGCACCGCCACCAAGGCCGACACCCAACAGGACCCTCAGGACATCTTCAGGCGCCTCTTTGAGCAGCGCTTCACGCCCCTGGAGCCCGCCCCTTCTACGCGCCGACCAAAACACGCAGCCCCGACGACGGCTCACGACGACTCGGACGATTTCGACGACGACGATACCGACGAAGACGGGCTCGACTCCGACTCCGACGACGACACAGACCTGGACGATGACGAGGACGGGGCCGGCTCCGAATGGGGCGGAGTGTCGGACGCGGACGGCGATAGTATAGACGGCTCGGACGAGGTCGAGGTCGTCGACCACTCTTGCAACCCGCTAGCCTCGGACGCGGCCCCGTCCATGACCAAGCAGGAGCTGAAAGCATACATGGTGCGCGCATAGTCCCCGAGGGAGCAGCATCGCACATGCACACATGCACGCACATATGGAGGACAACAACGCTAACCCACACGATCCACAACTCAACAACCCAGTCCTCCCGCCCGCCCTCCATAGCCACCGAGCCGAAACAGCAGCCACCACCACCACAAGGCCGCAAGTCCAAAAAGACAGCCGCGACAGCCGAGGACTCGGCCGACCTGCTAGCCAACGACCTAGCGCTACAGCGGCTTCTGTCCGAGTCGCACCTGCTGTCAGCCGCCACCGCCGGCCAGGCGTCGTCGTCGTCGGCCACGCTGCTGTCCTCGGTCGCCGCGACCCCGGCCGCCGGCTCGGCCGCCTTCGCGCAGGGCCGCCTGCGCCGCCGCACGGCCGACCTGCGCATGCAGGCCCTCGGCTCGCGCGAGTCCGTCTTCGCCCAGCCCGCCATGCCGCTCGCCATCCGCAGGGGCATCGCCCAGCACCGCGCCGCCAGGGAGCAGAGGAGGCGCCGCGAGGCCCGCGAGTGCGGCGTCATACTCGAGGCGCCGTCTTCGTCGTCGTCGTCGTCTGCAAAGAGCCGTGCTGGTGGTGGTGGTGGTGGTGGTAGTGGTGCCCGTCGCGGCGGCCCAAAGGTTGGGATGCCGGGCGTCGGCAAGATGTGCGGCGCAGAGCTGAGGATTAGTGCCAGGGATGTGCGTGACATTGAGGGCCGAAAGGCCGGGCCTGAGAAGAGGAAGAAGAAGAGGAGGTAGGGGTTTACGAATTAGTTGCGAAAACAATACAACTGTATTCTCCGCTGTCGACTGTAGAGTTGTGTCATGTCCTATGTGACGGGGCACTGGTCATATTCACGACATCAAACTCCACCGGAATAACTATCTCCAACTTGCATTTTCATACCACCCATGACAGTATATAGCTACGAATTAGGCGGTGGGTATCAAAGTAGCCGACATCCTAGCCGAATGGTCCAGGACAATATATTACTCAAAACCAAGAGATGTCCTCGGAGCAGCACTGTTCACACATAATCAAGACACATGACGCAACAGTTGACCTTGGAGCTTTTGTTTGATTCAGGAGAAAGATGCGGAGGAACCATGGCTTGACCAGAGGGCTCTTACTCCAGCGAGTTCTATATCGGGAACGTGATAGTCGGGCCGAACAAGATTTTGGAACAAAATGGAAGAAGAGGTGTCCGGATGAAAACGTGAGAAATGACCAAAGAAAAAGAAGGTCGTCGAGAAACCAGAAAAGGGGTGTATAAAAAGAAGAGGACAAAGAGAAAGGGTAAAAGGGAGTAAATGGTAAGCGCCGGTGTATGAAGAAACACGAGAAAAAAAAGTCACCGTTTGAATTTCTCGTGTGAGAAAACGCCCATAAATATGCCGTGCAAGAAGGAAGAATGAAGTAGTCACCACCCAAGAAATCCCCTACCCTAGAGCATAATCTCGTATCCAGAAAGCCGTCATTGTTGACAGCACAACAAACCCATCCCATAGTGGTACAGAATGCGGGCTCGACCCGTCGGAGATATCCGACGGCGAGCCCACAAGGAGAAAAAGGAGCAGAACAGGGTATCGGTGATGAAGTCATCACATCATGCCGCCGGCGTTGATGGGCTGTGGTTGGCTCATCTGCATGGGCATGCTCAGCGTCTGCAGGCTGTTGTAGGCGGGGGCGTGCGACACCATGCCCGAGTGTGGGCTCGATGAGGTTGATGCCCCAGCGTTGCCGTTTGCGACCGAGTTGAGCGAGGCCGTGACGTAGCCGCTATCCGATGTCGGCGAAGCCTCCTCGAGAGACCCGAGGTGGTCTTCGCCCGAGTACTCCTCCTCGTCCTCGCCCGAGAGGATGAGACCGCCGTCGCCGCCGTCGGCCCTGTCGTGCGTGCGCTTATGTCTAGAGAGAAAACCGTTAGTTCTTCTGCCGCCTTACAAGCCAAAGACAATGTCGCTCCTGTAGAAGTGTTGTGCTGCTGCTGTGTTGTGGCGTGGCGCTGGCGGTTTCTTGCTTGGCTCTTGCGACTCAATCTCATCGATGGTTTTGTTTTATACATAGCAGGCGCACAACAGCTTCCAACGAGGATCGGACAAAAGAAAAAGTACATCAAGGAAAAGGCAGGGGCATACTGTGCTAGGTTGTCTGATCTGGAGAACGCCTTGCTACAATAAGGGCAGATGTAGGGTCTTTCTTGTGTATGGGTTCTCACGTGTCTGGAGAGGTCATGGTCAGAAACACGGCGGTCGGGTTTGGTTTGTTTCGCTTTTTGGTTAGGTTTTCGAGTTGGGGGGAGGAGGCATTGCCAACAAAAGAAATGTAGTCCCGGTCTTACCGCTTGAGGTGCTCTAATCTCTTGAAGAGACGACCACAGGTGGGGATGGGGCATGAGTGCGACTTCTGCGGGTACGGGCCCAGCTCCATGACGGTCGCCGAGCGTGCCCTGCGGATAACGTTGGGTCCGCCCTGCATTGCCCTGCGCTCATCCATATGGCCACCGACGTCGTCGGGGAGCATGGCGGAGTAGTCCTGCTGACCAGGCTGCTGCGGCAGCGCCATCGAGTGCGGTCCGGGGCTGCCCTCGACCGTCGAGAGCGGCGTGCCGTGGCGCGACAGCTGTTCCATGGCTTCCCTCTGGTGCGAGGCCATGGGCATTCCCTGGTTGCTGTAGATGAGGCCCGGAGGGGAGTTGTCAAGCGACTCGTCTCCCTCGGCGACGGGACCGACCGAGGCCGATACTGACCTGCGCAGGTCCGAAGGCCTGTGAGCAGTCGCCGCCGCAGTTGCAGCCGCAATCGCCGACATGCCCGGCGGGATTGAGGACCGCCGCCTCCTCTGCTTGTAGGTCGGAGAACCCTCAATGACAGAGTAGACGTTGTTGGATCCGTATGACCTGGTGAACTGCGGGCCAGCCAGATTTGAGGGAGGCAGCTGAATCATGCCGTTGAGTCCGTTGACGCCATTCAGGTGGTCAGGAATGGCCGTGTAGAGGCCGGTCTCCTCGTTGGCGATGTAGGCCGGCTCAGCGCCCATTCCCAGGGCCTGCTGAGGAGGCGTGAGAGGCTCGAAAGAGATGCCCCGGTTGCCGTAGTCGTCGTAGTGGGAAGAGACGAAGGAGGGCGCAGGCGAGTACTCAAGAGCATAGGCGGGCATCGAGGCATGACGCTGGTGGCCCTGGATGGGAACACCGTTCTGGTTGTACTGAACACCGCGGTTGTAGTCAGGCTCCCTCTTGACCGCCGGCTGCGCCTGCATGGCAGGAGCCATGCCCATCGCTCCGTAAGGAACCATGGCCTCGAGGTTGTCTGGCAAAGGGGCCATCGACTGGGGCATTTGTTGGGGCATCGAGGGGGCCATAGTCTGCGGCATGGTCTGGGCCATCATCTGGGGTGGCGGCATCGAGTCCATTGCCCTCATGACGGGGGAGGTCGACTGCGAAGGAGGGAAGGAAACCTGCTGGGCGTTGAAGGACGACGAGTTGGCTTGCTGCGCCTTTGTCAGCTGCTCGTACAGCGACTGCGACGAGTCGTACTGGAACGACAGAGCCGGCTCGCTGACGGCCATGGTGGTAGCCTCCTGGCCCATCTTCTCCCTCTTCAGATCCCGCTCAAGAGCATCGAGGAAGAGGCGGTCGTGCGGTACGCTATACCAGTAGAACACCTTCTGCTTCTTCTGCGTCCTGATGCAGTTGTTCTTGTAGAGGAAGTCGAGGAACTGGCTCTTGGGCTCCTCAAGAGAGGCGTCGGTGCCAGACTTCAGGTTGCGCAGATCCGAAAAGATGCCCTCCTCGAACTTCTTGGAGTTCTTGACAGGGCGGCCAAAGGCCTGGAACCTGAAGGACAGGCATCGCACGATGTCGGTGCCCGAGATGTGGAAGAGGTTGTTCCATAGGACGCACGAGACGTACTCGCCCGTTGGCAGCAGAAACCTCCTGATGTACTGGTCTGGTTGCCAATCGACGGGTGCGGAGATCAGGAAGTATTTCACTGGCGAGAGGAAGAGCGCACAAAGTTAGCCTCGGCCGCTTCACGGGTGTCCGAGATGCGCATTATCAGGTAGGTAGAAGACGCCGCTGGACCAGAACCTACAGTTGTCGACTTGTTGCAGGGCGACCTGAGCATCGTGTGGCAATGCCTGCTGGGCTTCTGTGCTGAGCATGAAGGTCTCTGGTTTTTGGGGCGCGGGCGCCACGCCAGCATTATGAGGATACATGATGAACAGTCGCCACGGTAAATGATGGAAGGCGGCGAGTCCGTGTCCGAACTCGTCGTCGGGCGGTCAGGGGAGTGTCCCCGAGCGAGCTGAAGACGTGGTCGAGGTGCGTCGCAGTCGGCAGGCGCTGCCTGTGTGCGGAGGGTGGTGTCGCGTCGTGTGGTTTGTCGCTTGGTGTTGTTGCGAACGAGGAACTTCGAGTCCAGCCCGGAGGATGATGTGTTTGTGCGAGGAGTGTTTGTGTGTGCGGCGGAAGTCGTCCGACCCAACAGCTTCAAGCGCAGGGTGGGAGAGGCGCCAAGCAGTGCACCGTCTAGGTGCGCGTTTGTATAAAAGGAAAATGGGTTACTGGCAGCAGTTGCTGTGGCGGCAGGTGGAGATGCGGCGTCCTCGGGCTCGATAAACCGACCGGCCTCTGCGATGGGCAGGGGGTGAGTAAACAACGAGTCGAATGGAATTAGGTGGATTATTGAAACACGAAGACCATGCGCGCCCAAGAAAACGAAAGGCGAGTGCCGTTGAGAGAATGGATCTTCCCGAGCACCAGTGGTTATCAAACCGACAGGATGGCAGGGCGAGTTTGCGACGCTGCGTGTCGGAAGAAGAGGCCGCGTGGAGAAGCGAACTGCTGGGGACAGAACAAGCGAAATGGCACAAAAAATGACTGTCTGCGGTTCCACGGAGACAGGATGTGAACAGAGGCGAGAGAAGATAAAAAAGGGGGATAACCTCCTCGCGAACAAAGTGACAAAAAGTTTGGGAGGGAAGGGGCGTGAAAAAAAGGGGGAGGGAAGGGAAGAGTCTTGAATAAAGGGACGTGGGTGGACTGCGAGAGAGCGAAGGGCTGGGGGTTTAATGATTTTCGCGCGGCAGAGGGGGCTGCAACCGACCACTCTGTGTGGCTGCTGGTCAGGTACGGTGGCTCGGTGGTAGGCAAAGTGGCCTGCTGGGTAAAAAAGAGGCGTGTGTCCCCCGTCGACCTGGGGGAGGGATTGGAGGTGTGGGTGTGTGCATCTGCTGCTGGTCCGTCGGCCGATGGACTGGTGCTCTTCCTTCTTTGCTGCCAGCATTGGGCATTGGACCAGAGGGGGTGGGGAACGGAACCGACGAGCACAAACAAGCACAGGGGAGCAAAGATCACGGTCCTAGTGGGGCGAGATGTGCAAATGTGGGGAATCGGCGAGTAACGCAGCGGCAACAAATTTCCTCATGGCCGAGGAATAAAACGAGATAAAATAAAATAAAAAAGGCCCCTAAAAAAAGAGCCCGCCCACTGTTCCCTTCGGCCCAAAAGAAGGCTAACAGGGATCAGGCAAGCAGAGGTCAATGCAGGGATTGAGGCCAAGACACGACTCTGCACCTCCCCTGGCGTTCCCTCGACCTTTTGACCTGGGTCTCCGTGCGTCGCTCGCCCGCGGTGCATGCCAGGCCATGCCTGTGGTGATTGCGGGCTCTGTGGCTCTTTTCGCCTTCTCTCTGTTCAGATCCTCTTTCCGTCCTCTGGCTCCCATCCCCCCATCTCCACCCTCGATGGTCAATGCCACCCGGTCAGGTCGGGCCTGTGATGGATCCGTAATAGTCCAACCCAGCAAAAAGCGCGGTCCGTGGTCCGTGAGCCGAGCCCGCTTTTGCACACGCCAGCCGACCGGCCAACGACTTGCAACGTCCACCTTGCCTAGCAGTTAGTTGCCTGCTTTGGTTTTTGTGAGGGGAGGAGGGAGAGGGCTGTGCCTGTGACACAGTTATCGAGGCACGCGGACGCACGAGCACGGACCAGAGAGGGCATACATCACGCTGCTACTATCTGGCCTTGTGGCGTGCCTTCGTTCGCCCCCTCCATTCGTCTTCCTCACTTTCCTTTTTTGCTTTGGTTTGTGTCCAGGCTGCGGTTGATGGCGGGGAAGAGGGTCTCTTGGTGCAGACTGTCCCCCTGGGCCCTTGGGAACTGCGCAAGAGTCGCCGGCACGTCATGAATCAGGAACAGCTCCCGGCGGCGCGAGAGACTGGATGGCAAGGACATGCCATAGAGCCGATAGTGATTCCCCTCTCCCGACATGACCATGACGTTCCTGGGCTTGACGGATGAGTCTCGCGAAAGAGTCGCCTCTTGGATCGGTCGCCTAGCACATCAAACCACGCGAGCCGGGTGCAGATGGTGCTATGGCTAGGCAAAAACGGTGCTGGGGGCTGGCAGTACTAGCAGGCACGGCATCATCATATCCTCCCAGCTAGTATGGACGTGGACATTGAAGGGCCCCTGGCTAGCAGCGCCCCGCACCCGAATGGTGTTGACGAGTGTGCATGAAGGGTGGCGGCCTAGCGGCGATATGTTCCGTCTCCAAAATAAACCAAAAAAAGAAGAAAGCCCCCTCCCCTCGTCGCAGCGCCTGATCCTGGGAGGGCGGATGCGCATAGGCCACGCCCGTAACGCAACCCGCGCGCGCGGTTGGACGAGGCGGGCGCTACAGTTTAGGGACAGCTGGGAGAGCACGCCGCCACGGGACTGACAACTCAGGGAGTGAGAGAGGGTGCTTGGCAAGGCGCATGGGGCTGCCATGATTGGGCACGAGCGCCAGTTCGCATCGCCAGTGCCCTAGGACATTCATGCGTTGCACAAACCACAAACCAGCACTTCTAGCGCCTCGCCCTGGCGGGCTCAGAGGTCGGGGAGTGACAGGCACTACTGGCTACCATGGCACGGCGAACGAGCGCGCAAGGAGGTCCATTTGCGCGACTCCATCCTCTTATTACTGCGGGCGTGTTATTTGGTCATCTCACCAGCAAAATGGGCACGCAGCTCCGAGGGCCCATTGTTTTTCTCTCTTGCAGGTGGAAAGCTGCATGCGCCCTCCCAGGTTGCCAGGTACCCCCCCCCCCCCTGGCCGAGGATGTGGACTCGCCCCAGGGAAGAAAAACGGCCCAAGAGCGGCGAGGACATGGCAGGGGCGGACCCGCGTCCTTTTTGGCAATGATCCTGTTCCTGCTGCCGTTCCCGTCCAGTTCGGGCTGCGAGGTGAGTCTGTGCCCTGTGCACAGCTCCCCTCCATCATCTGACAAGCGGTCGGTTGCAATGCGCAGCCGCAGCTGTGCCGGCAGGCAGACGGACAGACAGGCAGAGGAAGCGGCACAGGGCGGTCGTCGCCATGTCGGAAGAGCTGGTGGTGCCAGCGACGCCGGTGCCGTCGGACTGCCAGGTCGACGGGAGGTAGGCTGGGGTGATAGACAGAGCCTGTAGAAATACTCTATCCAGAATCCTGGCCTTACATGGGCAGTAAACATTGGGAATCAGAACCCCGTCGTGTTTCCTACCAGAGACCCACTCGCTTCCTCTCCCTCCACAAAGAGATGCACAATTGCCCATGGGGCCTCAATTTGACGAGGCGACGACCCAAAATCTCGACCAGCTGCAGTGCACAACATAATCTCCGGACTCCTGAGCGCTGCACAGAAAAAGATATTTGCGCCGCGTCCGAGCGAGCCCCCGGATGGAGCACCTACTTTGACTGGAGGCTGCTAGGTACTCTACCTGTCTGCTACTGTACCTACCCACGCTGCCAGCACAAGGACGCAAACGACCGATCAAGATGCGGCTGCTGGTCTTGGCAGTTGGGGCCAGCCATCCAAGCCAAGCCGGTCGGACCGCCCATGTCCGTGGTGCACGTTGATCGGCAACCGCATCAGAGACAGGTGACGGCATCCGTCCCTTCTCTCTGTCAACCGAGTTACGCCCTGATTGTGTCGGACGGCGTTAGGTTCCGACAGATACATTACAGCACGGGTGACGGGCCACAGGAATCGGCTTGTCTTGGGCGTCGGCACTGTGCAGCAAGCAAGTAGCCCAGCAGAGTCCCGCCCCCTTGCTGGCGAGATGGGTGCAAATGGAATGAATGACGGGATACGATGCTGTCGGGTCCAAACAGGGCACTGGCCCACAACTTGTCTGTTATAGGCAAGCCAACTTCCATGCGGGCAGAAAGATGAGAGCAGCTGCTATTACGAGGGCCCAAAATAAGTGGTGAGGTGGTCCCGGTGCAGCAACCCTGCGTAGTGGACAAGTCCGATTTTGTTTTTGCTCCGGTTGGGCCAGTCCAGTGGCAGTAGCGTCCACCAAGGTCGCATCGGGGCTGGCCAATCCATGTCGCAGCCAACACAGACGGGCAGTGCCCTGTCAATATGAAACACGCCTGGCGCAGTGCCTCAGAAATAGCTTAGGTCGCAGGTTTTCTGCGCTAGTGCCCATTTTGGGATGGCTCGGCTGCGCTGCGTCCACACACCGCACTGAAGCGCGGCTCATCTTGCCCCAAGAAGGAGAAAGTGAGGGAGAAGGAAAAAGGCCTGGACCACGAGAGCCATCCATCATTCCTTGCCGGGAGACGCCAGCTTGGGGGTCCACCCAGCATATCCCAGTCCTCCTCACGCGAACGCGCACGCGCTCTTGCAGCGCCCGCAGCTCCTCTCTTCCCCTCCCCTCCACCAAACTATGGGAACTTCTTTGCTTGCGTGCTCGTAGGCCAAGAAGACACCCGCTAACTAACCATGGGCGGGGCCTGTCTTTGAACGTCCATCGAGGCTGTGCAAAAACGACGCTGGACGGGATTGGACGTGGGCTCCATGGACGGCGGCACCAGCTGGTGTGCGAGCCCTTTCGGCTCCCGCTGATTTGTCTGTCGATGGGTCCAAGATATCGCGAGACAAGTCTCGGCTGTTGTTGGATTGGCTGGGCGGGGATGTGTTCTCTTGTCCTTCCATCCTATTCCTTTCTGCTCGGCTTCAGTCAGTAGCGAGCCCCATCAGAAGAAAAAGAGCAGGGGAAAAAAAGACAACACGGCTGCTCCAACCGCCGACGACCGCTCAACACAGCGGCTTCTTCTTGCTGCCCGCAGCTTGGCTTTAGGTTTCCTTTCGTATTGTATCTTGCCCCTGCCTCTCATCCGGTCGTGTAGCACTGCAGGTCATGTACCTCGTGCGTAAGCTTGTTTTTGTTTTTCCTTTCTTCCTCTTCTTTCCCTTGGCACGAGGCGCAGTCTAGAACTGGGCCGAGATGCATGCAAACACCGGTGTCATCGCACCTCTGCGACAGGAAGTTGAGGCCACGCTAGGCGGCCTGCTATCGGTGATGCAAAAGTAAAAAAGCTTATGAAAACAACAGCGCATAATTCCACAGTGGGACGGACGGACGGCCTTTCGTTACCGAAAGGGAAAAGTTTCCGCTGGCAACAGGGGATAGATCCTCCAGCCCGGCGCCGCGGGAAGGCAGGCCCTCGGTAGACATGGGCAAGCTTCTGGCTGGCGAAGAAAATGAACAAATCCGGGCCTAGGAAGTGAGCTTCCATCCAGGTAGATGACAACCGCAGAATCAGTCGAGCGAATCAGTAGAGTGAGAGACGCGTCCTCGAAGACGAGTGGGGAACCGCAGAACTAGACCAAAAAGATATGTTGGCCAAAGCCATGAAGCACATCCTGTCGGCCGCCTTGCGGCTTTGCGCCGTTGTCAGCGATGGGCCACTGACCTCGTGGTGGTGGGGGATGTGCAGAGGGGCCTGAAAGGGCAGGTGGATCCGTTTGATCGCCGTCCAGCATTGTCCGAAACCTGCGGCTGGGCAGGGAAGGAAACAGACACGCACAGAGCAAAGGAAGAAAGAAAAAAGACATAAAAAAAAAAAGGAGCAATGAGAAGAGGGGAAGACGGCCGGGGAACATCCTCTTCTGGCAAGGGTCCATATCGGAGGGGACGGTCTTGGTCTTCCGGAGCTGGGACCGTACCTACGACATGACGGCCATTATTTGGGACGAGATCACTGACACTTGCAGGCTCGGAGGAGCCGAAGGAAATATGTCCGTTGCCCAGAGGAGACAGAGGGGAAATATTGGGTGAGAGGACCCACCACGGCCGGTCTAACCTACATCGATCGAGAGGGTGGTGAGGGTGCCATCGTCCCCTGCGTCGAGAAAGATATTACATGCTGCACAATTACGGCGCAACGCAGCTTTGCATACACTCCACGATAAGGAGGACGAGGGGGCGTCAGCGGCCCCCCCCCCCCCCCCCCCTTATTCACGAGCACGCCGGGACAAGGCGAGGGCATTCCCGGCCGGTCGCCCGTCTCGCCAGCGGAGCGTAAAACGGTTCACGGGCGCGCGTCGGCTACTCAGCACCGCTGGCAGCGTGCCACCCGTGCCTGTTACAGGCTGCACTGACGACGGCGGGCGGGCGGGATGCTTGCTCGCTCGCGCCTGATCGTCCCGCTACCCTTGCACAGCCTCCCCCCGGCTCCTCTTCGTTCCTCAGGCAAGCGAGAACAAGAAGAAAAAAAAACAGTCAGCAGCAGCGCAAGCCCGCGGCGGCCGTTGGCGGGAGGGGACTCCCTGCCAGGCTGGGAATTGTACCAATGTCGAGTCTGGCTTGAGGCGGCATGTCGGGCGGAGAGGGAGGGAATCAGGGAAAAGATAGCCGTGGTGGGATGCAAGGTCGCACACGAGGCTACCCTGCGAGATCCCTTGTAATTTCCCCTTGCTCGTCTTTCCTGGCACGGTGCCCGAAAAAAAACCGGACTGCAAAATTTATTCCCCACCACCACAAAAAAAGGAGCCCATTCAGTCTGCGGTCATTTTGCCCTCTGCATCTATAATCTAGCAAAGCGAATAACGTCATTGTGGCTATAAGCAGTGCCTTTTGCATCAAGATAATCACAAATCCCTTGAATGCGTATTCTTTTCGGTGTAGAGTGGTGCGCGGGCATACCGTTCGGTTTTGGTGCTGGTGCAATTGTGTTGGGAGAGGTAGAGTTTGGGTGGGGAAAAACATTTGCAGTCCGGTTTTTTTTTTCGGGCACCGTGCCTGGGCCGCCCGACGCGGTCCCACCGGGTGCATCTAGCGCGGCGAGCGAGAGAGCCCTTGCCCCTCCTCCCTGTACCTGCTTCTCTCTGCCGTGAGCGCGGGCTGGCTGGCTGGCTGGCTGGCGGGCGAGACTGGGCTGGCGTGGGTTTTCTTAGACATAAGCAATTTTTCGAAACACGTCGCGCTATTCGCTGGGAACGAGGGAGCGCCACGCACCCATGTGGCGCGTGGGCGAGCAAACAAACAAACCGGACAGGCCAAACAGGGTTCCCTGGTCGGCGGCCGTGTTGGTGATGGTGCTGATGGTTCGTCGCCCTCTTGGGCGAAGCGCCCACCCTCGAGAGCCGAGAAATGGAGACGAGAGCGTTACGCTGGGAAAAACAGAGCCGTCGGTCGGTCGGCCTTTGGGGCATCATATCAGTCGCCTATCAAGCAAAACCACCGGCCCCCTATGTGGTATGGAGTTTGGCTTGAATGGCCGACTGGCTGGGACGCTGTCCACGGGAAGGTTTTTTTTTTTTTGCCCGCTTGGGACTCTGTGGTTGGGTGCCGATCCATGATGCAAACAGCGACCCTTTGGCCACGCTGTTTCAAAATTTCAAAAACGACGACGGGTCACACCCGTTACCACCAACCCCTCCCTCCATCCCTTTTCTCCACGCTTGAACAGCAAGCAGAGAAAAAGAAGGCCGGAAAATAAAATCGGGCTAAGCTTATTCCATCTTGCGAGATGGATTGCGCCGTTTGTGCCTGCGGGTTTGCGGACTTGCGGGTTTCCAACCAGGCAGTGCGGGCCCGTCCAATGGGAAAATAGCCCTCCAATCAAGTGGCACCCCCCCGCGCCCGGCGCTGGCCCGTTGACTGGCCAGGCGTTGTGTCTTTTGGCTGCACCGCTAGCCGCCTCTCCGCTGCTGTGCGTGTGGCTTCTTGGCTTGGTCTGCAACGCTGAACGGTGATCGGCAGGCAGCGCCCCCCCCCCTCACGAGAGCCTCCAGCGGTCTGCTTCTTTGGCCGTGGAACGCCCGCTGGCTACAAAAACGCGCTTAGTGCGATTCTATTTCCGGCAACTCGGTCTCTGTGATGGTGCCTACAGGCCTGCCACATCCCGCTGACCAGCCGCATTGTGCATACCCGCCCTGCCCTCCTCTTTGCCGTACTCCTTTGGCTCTCCTTGCCGCCCGGTAGCAAGCACATGGACCTTGGAGGGCGGAGCGTTTACACCCAATCGCGCGGCGACTGTCGTCCACACAAGCGGTTTCTTGGGCGGCATCGTGGCATCTCAGATGCGGAATCTCAGGTACCCGAGATCTGGTAGGATGGACGCCACTCCAACCCGAAACCTTTTGGACGGCCCCAATTCCTGGCCGCACGTCCGTCGACCTTTAACAGGGCGGAAGAGACAAAATGATTGCCGGCGACTAGGGGCCTGTCACGGTGGCAAGCCGGCGGGGTAAGGTCGGGCAATTGAGAAGACGTATCTCCCTCCAGCATCTTGGAAAGAGTTCAATGATGGCGGCTCTCGCAACCTCGGGGGGCCGTCACACTCCTTCGTGGCGGCGCTCGGCATGTCGGTGGGCGTAATGCACGACGGGAGCTCCCACACCCTCACACAGTTGTTGGCGCTTCCGGTCCGACAGGCAGACAGCGCATTTGCCTCGCTTGAGGTACGCACGGCTCCTCTCGGTCGTCACCGTGCGAGCACTGGTATTCGGCGCCATGTGCATCTCGATGGTCCAAGGTTTGCCAAGGTCGTTCACGATGTGTCCATGGTCACTCCCTTCGTGTCGGGGCTGCCAGGCCGGCAATGCTGTCTGCCGACTCTTGCGTCTGTGGATGAAGCTGCGCAGACCACACATTCCGTATGTCTTTTTTTTTCTTTTTTTTTTCTTTCTCTCAGTCATTTCCTTTTTGCCCATTCCAGAAAGCCCCGTGGAGTTCGGGCTCAGTAGCGGGCTCGAGTGGGGACGCCAGGGCCCAGTCAAGAGCAACCAACTTGAAACCGAGCCAGAAGAAACTTGGGGTGTTGTTTTTTTATTCTTGGCTGCCTGTTTGGAGCTTGATGAAACAAACGACTACGACGTAGCTGGTTGGGCTAGCCTCTGCAACTTATCACACGAGCGGCGGCACCGGTGGCGTCGAGGGCAGCCTGCAAAGAGACGGGCACATGAATAAGGGAATGGAAGAGAGAAGGCGGACAAAAGGGGGCAAGAAGAAAAGCTTCTCCCTCTAGAGCGCGCAATGCAACAGGGCTCGTGATTTGTGATTGGTGTTCCTGGATCTTGCATGAACATGGAGCTGGCCCAGATTGTCGAATGGGCGAATGGGTCGCGACGGAGAAATGGGAATTGGACCATGGGAGGTGGAGGAGCCCGAAGGCGCGGCCAGTTGCTCGGTGTTTCTTTGGGCTGAGTTGGAAAGCCTGGCCGGGGTTGCTGCGGGCGGGGCATGGACGCACGACGGTGGAGGAAGGAGGGACCCTCGGCCATGAAGCTCTGGCACTCTGGGAGCGTGATGGCGACAGCAGGTGGGTGGGCGCTGCACCTGCCTCGACCAACGCGGTCGTGCAGCAGGCGAAACAAGCGCCGGGCCATGGATGGAGTGGGGTCTCCTTGGGTCGCCCCAGGGCAACCTCGTAATTAATCAGGAACATGAAACACGGTCGGCCATGTCACGTCTTCTTCCAGAAGCCGCTGGCAGCGGGAGCAAGACTCAAGACTCGCAGCTCGAGCTTCATCTTGCGGTGCCACCCCAAAAGTCCCGCCCCACAGACTCCCACCACTCGAGACCAGACCTGACGTGACCAGCTGACCGACCAACTGACTTGGCGAGCGGGCGAGCCGCGCGACTCTTGACTGCGTGGAAATGTCTGGTACTGGGACCAGCAGGTGTCCTACCTGGGATGCATACAGTACGTGATAACAGGATCGGTATATCGGGGCGTACCCTGTCCGCTCCCCCGCGGTCGGGGATAGATGACCTCCCCACCTCCCGTGGCCCGTGGCCCATGTTCCACGACCCGCGCACCAACCTCCAAAAAAAACCCGCACACAACAAATAATAGCCAGCGCCTATTTTTTATATGCTATCTAATGGGCAGTTATTTTTCCTTACGCCCTCTATAATTTTTGAGAGGATCTGAGGCGCGTGTTGTGGTGACGAGGCATTGCAATCAATTGGTTTGATTTTGTTTTGTGCGGTTTTTTGTTGGAGGCTGGTGCCGCGCTTCTTTTACACCCTTTAGGCTCGGTCCATTTACGCCGTCCCTGAGACAGGCATACAGCGCAGGTAACTGTCGGAGCAGAGGGGGAAAAGACAGGCCCCTGTCTGTCCTTATGTCCTGCCCTTCCGGCCAGTCGCGGCCGAGGGAACGGTCCGGCTGCTAAAGTCGCCACTGCCCAGTGCGAGTCACCACTCGCCAGCCTCTGCCTGATTGCTCGTGCGGCGGTGGCAGTGCCCTTGGGGTGTGCTCTCCCTGGCCCGTCAACGACGCATCCAAGCGCACGCCTCAGGTTGGCGGGTCTCCTGTTGTCCCCTTGTCGCTTGCCTGCTCCAGTCTCTCCCCCGGACCGCTCGGCAGCTCGGCAAAGGAATCGCAGCAGAGCCTCGACAAAGCCCACAACGCAAAAGCTACCACCATTTGCCGTCCGCCTCCACACTCGCAGCTGTCGATCATGACCCATGATTTATGCCCGCGGGATCAGGCTGCTTGATGCCAGCGGGTGAAAATCAGCCCAGAAAAGGAAAAAAGGTGGAGGAAGAAATGTGAAAGGGGAAAAAATAGGCGGGGGTGCTTACACCCATGTAGTAGACGCACCCAAAGAACACCATCGGGCTTTCCACCTCCTACAGCGCCTTACGGCGGCTGACTGCACCTTGTCTTGCGGCAAAGTCCCGGAGCGGGAGAGAGCGGGAAAAGGGCGCCATGCCAACCCGACTGACTTGCTCGATGTAGAGTGCAGAGCAAGGTCATAGCCCGAGACCTCCCACCACCTCTCGCTGGGACCTGACTGGCTCCCCGTCTGTTTTGCCTACCCGAGAGGTCTAGACCCCATCCATCTTCTTTTCTTCGCTGCTGGCCTTTCGGCCGGGCACATATGCCTGCCCTTGTCCGCCTTGGTTGTTTATCAAGTTGTGTCACCAGCCTGGCCAGCAGGCCGGTGGCACACGCGCGCGCGCCACAAGCCTTCCTGGACATGCAGACACGCTTCGGCGCCTAGTCTGGAATGGATTGCATCCGATGTGCCTGGCCAAACTCGTGGTTTGGAAAGACATACCTAGGCCTGTCGGGCAGCAGGTCCTCATCGGCCCCGGGTGCCCATTCCAGTCTTGGCTTGTAGGAAATAAACCCGCGCTCGCTCTCCCTCTCCCTCTCTTCCCATGTTTCTCGCTCATCTGAAACCCTGACAGAGAACGACCGTGCCATGCTTTTATTCTCTCTCAGGTTCATCAAAACTGCCAGGACATGGGCAAAGGATCCGGCTTTCCGTCTCGTTGAACTTCCAACAGCGCACGCACGCACACAAACCGTCCATCTCTGCGCCCTATATAGTGTCGTCGGCGGGAAATAAATAAAGCCCAAAGTCTAAGCTGCAGGTCCTACCGTAAACAGAACATGCACGCTCAGGTTCCTGACTGTGGCAATTGACCAATAGCCTTGTCTCCATCCATAGCGCCTGCCCTGGACTCGGATATATTGGCCACTTTGTTCAGCCCTGACAAATATCTTTCTCCATCCCCTCTCTCCTCTTTCGGCTCTTTTCTGACGTCAAACTTTGGGTAGGCATCGTGGGAAGCAGATCGATCTCACCCCTGCTGCTCTGGGCCAAGATAACGTCGGCCGGGGGGAAGGATAGAACGTCCAGCCGCCTTCTCTACCGGGGTGATTTTCTTCTTTTTACACACAAACATAGCGTGTGCCCACTATCGTAGACATTAGAAATAAAAAATGGGGACAGCGTTGCCTTCCCTACCTCCTACCCCCTCCCTTTTGCCCAGCCTCGCCCTATTTTGCTGACATTTTTGACTGTTATAGGCAGTTTTGCGCATGTGCCGGCAGCGGTTCCGGACCGATGGCGTAAAGGGGATCGTCGCTCCGAAACGGCAGGGGTAGGTGTGAATGGACTGCGGATAGGGCATCTCGGTCGCCTAGGGGGTTAGTGGGTAGTGGTTGGTGGTGGAGACCCCGTATGTGCGTACGTACCATGGTGTGATCTGGCCTGCCCGCCCATGCTATTTGTTTGGAGCCTTTCTTTTCTTGGTCTTGGGGGTATTCGGTCGATTGGCGTCGGCCATGGAGATTGTTGGGTTTGGGTTCACACATAACATCAAAAGGGCGAGGGGGGCATCATCATCTTCCTCGTCCGGCATCATAGGGCTCCAGGGCACAGAAGAAAAAAACAGGCTCACGGGGTGTGCATGCGTCCCAAACACTGACAGCCAAAGTTTGTTAAGGGATCAAGGCCCCCTGCAGGCCGTACCTTGCAGTGAACGTCGTCGAAGTCGCCTCCGGGCTTGCTGCCCTCTATTTTCGTTTTTTCTTCCTTCCCTCCTGTTGGCTCTTTTGCCCCTCCCTCCCTCGGTCGGCCTCCTTCCCGGCTGCTTGGACGCATGACGACCGAGTCCGAGTCAGGGGCGCCATGTTCGATCGAACGACACTTTCTTTCTCGTCCTAATCTTCCCCCGTCCCCCCCACAGGGACCCCGGAAGGCGTAAATGACCCGTTTATTACGTGGTGAAAGTTTCCCTCTTGGTAAAATGTGCGCAGCGCAAAGCATCCCGGGGGGCACCGTGGGATGGGGGGCAAGCAAGGACGAAACGTGATTCCTTGGTCGTTCATACTACGGACTGCTATATGTGTAAAAAAATAAAAAATAAAAAAAAAGGCCCGAAGAGGCTTTAAGAGGCAAAATGGCTCTTAAAGTGCTCTCGGACGGGCGAATAGATAGAACTGATCGATAGAGATAGAACGCTTCGGTGCTGGGTGTCCTTGTCATCGTCATCATCGCCCCCACGACAGACTTGGGTGGAGGATTAAGCATGGCGGAACGGCACAGGGCCAAGACGGCGATGTTGATTTCTTGACTGAAACGAAGGATGGTGGGTATCAAATGTCTGTGTGCTAGGGTGACAACTGAGAAATGACATTATTCCAAACGGGCTCTCGTTCATCAACGTCTAGATAGACACATTCTTCTCCAACAGCTTTGCGCCCTCCCGGACCTTCGGGCAGAAGTGTCTTCGTAGCAGCTCGCCTTCCCAGACGGTGGTGGCGAAAGGGTTGCTCCCCTCCACTGTGTCGCTGAGCGGGTTGTATTTGCCATCCCCCTTGCGCTCATCGGTGCTCCAGAGCGCAGCAATCTTGTTGCCGTGCGTGTGTGACACGTCGTGGAGCAGTGCCAGGGCGGCCTGGCACGACTTCTCGGGCATGTGCAAGGATGCCGTCATGATCTGCTTGGAGAAGGCGGCCAGCCGCAGCGGCGGCACGGACCGGATGTTCCAAGGTGGCAGGAGGACCGCTGTCAGGCAGCGGACCAGCAGCACAGTCGTAGTCTGCAAGTTGACCTTGTTCGACCTGTTTGCCGAGGCCTCTGGGCTGTCCGGGTCGGGTAGATGTAGCGAGCGCGCTCCGAGCTCTAGATCAGGGCTCGTTGACAGAGCGGACAAGCTCCGGAAGAGATGCGTAGTAAAGAAAGACAGATCGAGGTGGAGGGCATTACGGCTGTTGTGAGAATCTTGTCCAGCTAGAAGCGCGAACGCAGTGACCACGCAGAGCAGAGATTCTCGGCTCGTGTTTCTGGTCCCTAGATCGTCGTCCTCGACCCCTACGTCCGCATCCTCGTCCCCGGGCTCGCTCCCGCCCGCCTCTGTATCCCGAATTAGGTCCTTCAGGGCTTCCAGGAGGTCGCCAAAAAAGTCCTGGTTGATCAAATGCGCATATTTGGACAGGCCCTCGAGCACTGCTCCCATCAGGTGAGGGAGTCTCAGTTTCAATATGCGGAAGTAGGTGGCGAACACCAGCTTGAGCGTCTCAGACTGCACCTTGTCCCGCTCCTCGTGGCTGACGATGGCATCGGCGTGGGCCATGTCCTTCTCGACCGCCTTCTGCTCCTTGAGGAGCTTCCTCTCTCGCTTTGTGCGGAACTCCCGCTTGGCCTTGGGCTTCCGTTCCTCCGCCGGCCGGTCCACCTTGTCTTGGGAAGCCTTGCCGGAGAACTCGGACAGCAGCCGCAGGTGCAGGAACAGGTTGAGCACCGATTCGTCGACGCGAAAATTCCGAGCTTTCATCATCCTGGAGAGCACCGAGACGGCCTCCATGGCCGGCTTGCCCTCTTCGTCGTCCTTGAACAGCGTCTCCAACGCACGCAGGCATTTGCGAAACGACTCATCCGCTTTCCTGGTGCTGAGCTTCTGAACCAGGATCTTGATCAGATCAGTGCGGAAGTTGAAATGCGGCACCGTGGTGAGAAGAGTACAGGCGCACGTGATGGCGATGCCGGACAGACCGGCACCCGAACCCGGCTGCTTGGACTTTGCTAGCGTCGCGAGCTCCTTGATGTACGCCTGGTATCCAGATACCAGCGACTGTTCGTACAACCGAACCCTGCGGACCTCCTTAGAAAGCTTCTCGGCCGGCCCGTCTGCGGCGGGGCGGATGCGGTAGCCCGGGATGACATCCTTGTAGACGGTCATCTGGGTTGCGAGCGCGAGCTTCTGGACGGCCGGCAGTTTTGAGTCGCCGATCTGGGCTAGAGCTTTGAACGCCCCCGGATTCTCCTCGGGATCTTCGGCGAGGGCAGAGGCGATCTTGGCGAGCTCCTCCTTTGCCTTTAGGATCTGCTCCCGCTCCGAGACCTTGGGGACCGCGGGGGCAACGGGCTCGGCCTCACCCTCAGACTGGGCCCTGGACTCGCTCTCGCCGTCAAGCCAGTCCTCGTCGCTCACCACCGACGCCGTGTCGGCCTCGACCTGGGCTTGCTGGATCTGACCATCGGCGGTCTTGATGGGCAGACGGGTGCTTTCCTTCTCCTTCTTCTTTCCTTTGCGAGGCCGAGATTCGTAGTCCTGCTCCAGGTCCCAGCTGGCGGCATTCTTGAAGAAGGCCTTCTGGATCCCGGTTTTGAACGCCTCATCACCACCCTCAGAGGGTGGCGGGGTGATCCTGCGTCGCTTGACAGGTCTCATTGTCATTTCCGCGTGTCTTGATACCATGCCAGCTGCTAGGGGACGGGCGATTCCAAAAGCTGAATGAAGGGTTGGATCGCTAAGGCTGGGACTGCTGCTGAAGGCGTGTGTATGGCCGCCCAGAAAAAAAAAATGAACAAAAGGTCGTTGACTGCAGATAGCCCCATAGTTTCTGCGAGATTGTGACTGATGATTGGTTTCTTTACTTATCGCATGGCGATGATAAGAAAAATCGGTACCCACTGGCCCCATGTACTCAGGCAGCTCGGAACTTTTACATGCTCATCCAGTCGACGAATCGACTATTGAGCAAGATAAAGAAAGATGAAAAATGGAAGGCAATAAAGTGAGTACTTTCAAGTCACTTGCATATATATACCTAATTCTTAAATTCTCTCATGTGTTTTTTTCTCTCGATAATGCTTGTTGTACGGGGTCGTCGTGGTTGCTGCCAGACGTATAATGTCTTGTCGCTGCCCAAGTAAGGTAAACACGAGTTACTGTTCTTCTCTCCATTCCAAGACATGTCTTAGTACGTCGCCTCGAGCCTCTTCACCAGGTACTCTCCACTCTGGATGCCCTTGTACTTCTTCTGGGCCTCGTCGGCATAAGTTCCGGGAATAGTTTCGATGAAGCTCTCGGTGTTGGGGTTGCAGAAGTAACTGGGGAAGTGAGATTTGTCAGTCCTCGTGCTCAATCTAACCAGCGCCGACGGCGGTGATAAAAAAAATAGGAGTCGTCGCAACTTACGCTATGCTGTACCTTGCAGGGTGGATGTTACCCTCACAAGTCGGGGGCTCGACAACCCTATGGATGGTGCTCTTGATGGTGTCGTTGCTCCAGCGCGCGAGGAGGTCGCCGGCGTTGACGACGCAGGTGCCGGGGATGGGGGTGGCGTTGACAAAGGTGCCGTTGGGGCTCTTGACCTGCAGGCCGCCGCGGCCGTCCTGGAACAGTAGCGTGATGGAGCCGTAGTCGGAGTGCTCGCCGGCCCGGACCTGGCCCGGGTTCACCTTGAACACGTTCTTGTCCACGGAAGGGTAGTGCAGCAGCCGCAGTGTGTTGTCGCCCACGTCGACGAAGCGGTCAAAGTAGGTCTCGTCGATGCCGATGCCCACGGCGATGGCGCGCATGACCTCGACGTGGATGGCCTTGCACCGCGCGAAGAAGTCGAGCATGATGGGCTTGAACTCGCGCGCCTGCTCCTTGCCCGCCCCGGGCCACCGGTTGGGGAAGGCCGGGTCGTCATCGCGCCCGATCTCGAATGACTCCTTGATATCGGGGGCCGACTGCCTGAGCTTGGCGACGTCGTCGACGTCCTCAAGCTGCGTCACCTTCTCCCGCCCCGGCGCCGAGTAGCCCCGGTTGGCCGCCGGCGTGGTCCAGGCGAGATCCATCTTCTCCTCCGACGAGAGCGTGAAGAACTTGGCCGAGGTGGCAAAGACATTCTCGCGCGTCTCGTCGGGGATGGGGAGGTTCGACAGGTAGATGAACCCGGCCGTCTGGAACCCATGCAGGATAGCTTTGGCCGTCTCCTGCCTCTGACTATCTGTCCCAGTCAGGAACTTGGAGAAGTCGATGAGCTGATCGAGGCGTTAGCGCTGCACGGATGGGGCAGCGTGTGCCTGGGTCGGGAGGGCTCAGCCGTAAGCTTGGCTGATCTGTCGAATGGTAGCGACCTACCGGGATCACGAGACCATCGCCGGAAACTGCTGCCTTCTCCATCTTACTCGACTGGATGGATGCAGCTATATCTTTTGTTTTGGTTATGTATGGAGCAGGGATGGTATTTGGTGAAGGAGAGAGTAAAGAGGATGCCGGGTGTGCGTAGTCGCCTACTTCTGTCACAGCTCAGCTGGTAAAACCAAGACCAGGATGCCTTTTAGAATGGCCTGCGGATGCTGGGGGATCACACTCAGATGCAGGTCTTATGTACAAAGATCCGACAAGGAAAAAAAACTTTAAGATTTGGCCGGTGCCAGCTTCGGAGGACCCCGCGAAAGCTTAGCGTCTAGTGGCCTGACGAGGCAGGGAGGGCGCGTAGACAAAGCCGTTGCAGGCGTGGCTATCATACAAGGGGTGGCCCCTCCTTGGTCGGCCGAGGGTCGGGTAATCCCTCTCTGAACAGGTGTAGGTAGGTACACACAATACATGTGCAGTACCGTGTACACAGAATCTCTGCGCCGGCAGGAATGTGCGGTCACACGGTAAGGTCGTGATAGGCAATGCGCCCGAGATAAGCGGCTAGAAGGCGGCGGGGAGGGCCGCATATGCGGGGTGGTCACCCTTGTCGGTGCGGGGTGGGGGTTGGTCTCAGCCCACATTGGTCAGCCCTGTCTTTGCCGTCGGGCAAAGCAAGCGTCCAATCAAGTCTGGTCAAGTCCGTCCAAGGCCCTCGGTGGTATCCCCTGAGCAGGTGCAGCAGTGGAAGCGGACAAGCGGAGTCGCGATGGGCAAGAGACTTGTTTGACTCGATACACACAACTTAAAAACTTTATCTCGCTACCCCCGCTGCGCACCAGAGACCGTGTCTGCCGTTGTGACGTCTCTCACCTTCTACTGAAACAGGCGGAAACACCCGGACATCAACCTCAGGCCATGGCATCCTCCAAGGCACGGGTTGTGGACATCCACACTCACATGTACCCGCCGTCGTATGTCGAGATACTCAAGTCGAGGGAGACCATCCCCCTGGTGAGGTCCTTCGACCCGGCCCAGGACCCGCGCCTCATCCTGCTCGAGGCCGAGGTCGCCTCGCTCAAGGCGGCGAGCTCCAGCGGCGGTGATGCGCCTGCAAAGCTGCCAGGACGGCCCCTGACGAAGCACTACGCGTCTCTGGACCAGAAGCTGCACTTTATGGACAGCCACAGGATTGACATCTCCGTCGTGTCGCTGGCGAACCCGTGGCTCGACTTCCTGGCCCCCTCCGAGGCCGGGGCCGTGGCCGTGTCGATAAACAACGAGTTCGACGCCATGTGCGCCGCCCACCCGGGCCGGCTGTTCTTCTTCGCCACCCTGCCGCTGACGGCGCCCCTGGACGTGGTCCGGTCGTCCATCGAGCACGTAAGGTCGCTCAAGCACTGCCGCGGCGTGATCCTGGGCACTTCGGGCCTCGGAAAAGGGCTGGACGACCCGGACCTGCTGCCCGTCTTTGACGGCCTGGCCGCGGCGAACCTGCTCATATTCCTGCACCCGCACTACGGCCTGCCCAACGAGGTCTGGGGCCCGCGGGCGAGCGACGAGTACGGGCATGTGCTCCCGCTCGCGCTGGGCTTCCCGATGGAGACGACCATCGCGGTGACGCGCATGTACCTGGCGGGCGTCTTCGACCGCGTGCCGGCCCTGCGGATGCTGCTGGCGCACAGCGGCGGGACGCTACCGTTCCTGGCGGGCAGGATAGAGAGCTGCGTCGTGCACGACGGGCACCTCGTGCGGGAGGGGCGGGCCGGGCGGCCGGGCCGGCGGACGGTCTGGGACGTGCTGCGGGAGCAGGTGTACCTCGACGCCGTCATCTACTCCGAGGTCGGGCTCAAGGCGGCCATCGAGGCGAGCGGGGCCGACAGGCTCATGTTCGGCACCGACCACCCCTTCTTCCCGCCCTTGACTAGCGACGAGGACGGCGAGTGGGAGAGCGTCGGGCTCAACTCGGAGGCGGTGCGGCGCGCGCTCGGCGACGGCAGCCAGGGGGCGGTGGGCATCATGGGCGAGAATGCCATCAAGGTCCTCGGGCTAGACGTCTAGTGCGTGTGGCTTGACTGGCGCAGAGCTGGAGATGATGGCGTGATATCATGTGCATCTTATGGTGCGATGATAAAGAAGCTATTTGCAACTTGTATCCTGCAACCCAAGGCGACACTTAGATACAAACAGAATAGCCAATATCACTTCGTTTCCGGGCTGAAAGTAAAACCCGTTGGTCGATCAGAACAACGGGTAACATTCGCTTGGAGAGCGATCCTCGAGTGAATAGTAGTGAATGCAGCTTCAGGGGCTGGTCGAGTTCATGTGATGTGTGTAACCATTTGATGGAATGAGGATGTGTGTTGATGGGAAGGCTAGAGCGGGGGTGCTGTGCTGCGCTTAATTCGGGGTGCGTCATGTGCCTGCAGGGCGCACTTCAGTGAAGGCTGACTGCGCCTCGTGCTGTATCTTGGGCCAAAGATCCCCCGTTTCGTGCGCTCGTCTTCCATGCAAACTCTCAATGGGTCCGCAAGATGAAGAAGACACTGCTTCTCTGCTTTATACACGGCTTCAAGGTATGCGCAGCACATATCGACTCTCTGTGTTGCTGGCGGGATGGCTCAAAGAGGCTATTTCGAGCTGGGCTATGGAGGCAGACAGGCCGTACTGACGAATGACGATTCCGCAGGGGGGTGAAGACACCTTTGGGACCGGCTTCCCCGAGCATCTGCGCCAGCTCGTCGCCGAGGAGCTCCCCAAGGTCGATGTCCGGGTCGTCGTCTATCCCAAATATGAAACCCGAGGAGACCTGGCCGAGTGCGTCGACAGGTTCAGGGACTGGTGCGTTTCTGCCTCGCCTTGTGGTGCCCGTGCTCCTTTAAAGGACTCGATCCCTCCGAGGCCTTATCTGTCTAGGTAGGTAGGCACCCGCGCGCTGACGACCAGAATCTCCCGCCAGGCTGCTGGAGAAAGTCATAGACATCGAGGTCAACTCGGGCACGCCATCGCCGACCATCGACCCCTCGGTGCGCACCATCCTCATCGGCCACTCGATGGGCGGCATCGTCGCCGCCGAGACGGTCATGGCCCTGACGTCGGAGAGGCCCATCCAGCCCGCGGGCTCCGCCAAGACGGCCGCCGCCACGGCCGCCGCCGACGCCGCTAGGCGCCCGACGTCGCCGTCGCTCACGTCGCTCATGTTCCCCTACGTCCAGGGCCTGCTCGCCTTCGACACCCCTTTCCTCGGCATCTCCCCGGGCGTCGTGGCCCACGGGGCCGAGGGCCACTACAACCAGGCCTCGGCCGCCCTGGCGCAGATCAGCGGGCTCACGGGCGCGCTCTGGGGCGGCGGCGGGGCTGCCGCCGCCGCCGGGCAGCAGCAGGCCAGGTCCGCCGACGGCAAGCGGCCCGCCGCCGCG